TGCTAGCAACATGTTGCCTGGTGTATGGAGGGCTTAAGGTCCATTGTTTCCTGCAACAAAACCGCTCAAAGCTATGGCAAAATAAACTGTAGCAAAAATTGGTACAGTAAAGTATAAAGTTTCTTCTCTGTTTCGAGTCACTCCAGGTACTAATTCTACATTATAATTAACATGTCTCGATTCCATTTCTGCCTTGCTATGAATGTTGTTTCTGATTTGTTGCATATGATTTTCCAAAGTTGTTTTCATGTACATCTTGTACGGTATGTATTGATTTATTAGTTGCTCTAAGTGGTTATACATGACATATGCACGATGCATCATTTCGCTGATCCCCAGAAATAGAACATTAACGATATATTTTTCATGTGATATCCCAGTGGATAAAGCAGTGACAAACATGAACAGAACATGGACCAGCATAATACCGTTGAAGCCAAGGCTTATGAGAATGTAATAAACGAGGTTTTTTATCCCTTGTTTGTTATTTGGTAGCATATATTCATCATAAGACAGGAAAGCTTAAATAATTGAATGGGCCAAGAAAGTCATGAATGGTGGTAATATTACTATTTTAAAATTCTGATCAAGACTTGAAGCATAAGTGTGGTAAAGGTAATTGAACATCCAAACTTCATACGATATAATACTGAGTAGAGAAAGAATCTTGTGGAAGTCCTTAAAAGCTGAACAACCCAATTTTTTTGTAATGATATCCCAAACAAGCAATGTACTAATGGATGTTACTAATATCCAAATGACAACACTAGCTAAATCCTTAGATTTTATTTCCTTGTGGTAGATATACTCAAGGATATCATCTTGTGGCTCATGTAGGATTATATTCAGTTCAGGGACAATGGTTACTATCATCCTATAGATGACAAGGACGAGGAAAAGGGCAAGGAGAACTACTCGTGTTGTGATCGTGATGGCTTCCATGACGCTTGTGATCGTTTTGGAATGATGTAGGAGTATAATCAAGAGTAGATTATCTACTCTTGGTATAATTCAATTATAAAACGTAGTAGATTATACATTACACTATATTAATCTGCATAGTTGGGAAATTTGTGAGTACATTGTTGCACTATAGTTAGCAACTTAAAAGGCACTGTACATGTAAAAAAACTACATGAAAATAAGCTACATGGAACAGTATATTTACAGGCATTTAATAGGCTCTTTATGACTACAGCTTTTTAGCACTGGAGACTAAAGCTTCACTAATCTTTCAAATCTCATCAAAATTACAGGAGTATTAAGGCTATCAGATAGGGTGGGTCATACTCTACTGTAATTACAATGAATGATGAGCATTTATTGATCATTGATTTTGCTTTTGCCTTGTGCTTTTTGCTGTTAAAAGGCATTCCACTTTTCCAGTATAAACAGTAAATTGTGTAAAAAAACAAAAAGTTTCTATTTTAAAAAAGTGTGTGCATGTAAGATTCAATAGTCAAATGTTTCCTGCAACAAAAGCGCTTAAAGTAGCGACAGCAAAAGTAGCAACAATTGGCACGGTTAAGTATGAAGTTTCTTTTTCTCTTTTTTGAGACAGTCCAGTTACTAATTCCACATCAAGGTTAACATATCTTGTTTCCAGTTCTGCCGGAGTATGAACGTTGTTTCTCATTTCTTGCATATGATGTTCCATAGCTGTTTTCATGTACATCTTGTATGGTATGTATTGATTTATTAGCTGCTCAAAGTGGTTCTTCATCACATATGCACGATTCATCATTTCGCCAAGCCCCAGAAATGCAACATTCACAATATATATGAAATTATTTTCTTTAGATATTCCAGTGGATAAAGCAGTGAGAAACATGCATACAACATGGACTATCATAATACCATTGAAACCAAGGCTTGCGACAATATAACAGACAAGATCCCTGGTCTTCGCTTTATTTTTTGGTAGCACATATTCATCGTAGGACAGGAAGTTTTGGAAAATTGAGTGAACCAAGAGAGTCACCAATGGTAGGAATATCATAATTGTAAAAGTCCAATTGAAATTTGTAACGTAGGTATTATAAATGTAGTCAAACATCCAAATCTCATATGATATTATACTGAGTAGAGAAAGAATCTTGTGAAAGCCTTTAAAAGCTGATCGGCTCAATCCTTTTGTAATAATATCCCAAATCAGTGACATACTGATGAGTGTCATTGATATCCAAATGACAACACAAGCTACATCTGAGTATTTTATTTCTCCATGACACGGAATTGGAAAGGACTCGAAAAGTATCACTTGTAGTTCACAGACAGTTTTATCCAACTCAGAATGTATAGTTATGACAGTCCTGAAAAGAAGTAGGCATCCCAAAACAGGTAAGAAGGACCCAGTTAGAGTAGCCTTTGCTTCCATAGCTAAA